TACAAAACCTATCTTCATTTAGATTTTTAATTATCAGATCTTCCTGTTCTCACTCTGGACCTGTTATCCCAATGCATTAACCCACTGTGATTTCTCTCTCAAGATATCAGAGCTTTAACAAGAGCAGTCTCCTCCAAAGCACCAAGCCCCAGCTGCCTGTGGTAACTAGCTACTGGCTTGATTAAAAGGCAGGAAAAGCCCAAGTGCTTGGTTTTTGCTCACTTTGCACCTCCCCAGCTCGTCTGCTGAAGCACTCTGCAGAAGTGGCTGTGCCATCTCCGACCATCTGGTAAACCAGCCACAGTCCTGAAAACAAACCACTTCGGTGATCCTGGCCCCAAGTTATCTGAGCCCGTACCCTGGCACAGGACCAAAGCCAGGTCTAATGTGCATCAGCAGAAATTACCAATTATAAAAACTGAGGAAATGCCAGTTCCCTGGCACGCCGTGGCTCCATCCAGCCCCACACCCAGCCCTCAAGCCCCCGTGGTGGGGTGCCAGCTGCTTTTACTCCTCATGCCCCTGGTAGCCAGGCTGGCCTCGGACCCCCAAGCGTGGGGAAAAACCCTCCCACCAATTCATCCATCCATCCACCCACCCACCGCCACAGCCCAGCATGGGAAGCAGGGAGGGAGGGACGGATGGAGGGGGTGCAGGGGGCACAGCCACTGGCCCCGCTTGGTTTGATGGCAGCCCTGCAGTCCCGCCTTGCCCGGCTCACCAGCAAGTCTAAGGTTCAGTGATCTCCAGTCGCCTCTCACCTTTGACACCGCTCCCGGGAGCTGCCGGGTGGTTTCGCTTTTATCCGGCCCCGGCACGGAGAGGCTCAGGCAGCCGGACGGGGCCATCGTCCCTGACACCGCAGAGTGGGGCACCTGGAGGAGAGCAAGGCTTTGGGAAGGTAAAGGCATCCTCTGCTGGGGGATTCCCCGCGGGGCAGGCCCCCACCCCAACCCACCGTCTCCGAGGTGCCTGTCCCAGGGACTCTCCCAGGACGGGCACCCAGGGACTCTCCCAGACACACTCCCGGGACTCTCATCCTCCCCTGGGAATCAGCCCCGCTCCCAGCCACAGAGGGGCACCTACCGGGAGGGCAGCACCATCCTCCATGGCTCCCTGCCCCAGGGAAGAGATTTGAGGAAGCCCTCTGCCCTGCACCCCATCCTCTCGAGCAGCCAAAGCCCTGCGGTGAAGGTCTGAGCAGAGCCCTCGGTCTCGCCCGCAGCCCAGGACGGGCTCCGCGTGCTGCTGCCTTATTTCCCCAACCTGCCCCAGCTGCGCAGTTAATGACCCTTACGCTGTTCCCCTTTGCGCTGTGGAGGGCTGACTGCATTGAGAAATCGGCACTATATAAATCTAACAGTGTTTATGCATTAAGTCTTTGTGGCGGGGATTTTCG